AAATAAGTTAAAGGCAACATTAAAACAATAACAAATGTAAAGCATTAACATAAAAATGATAAAACTATTAAAATATGTGGCTAGCACCACACCACTAACAAAAACAACCCAGACGTGGATTATTCTCCAAAGGCCAACCTAAACAATTGGGCCTTTTGCATACCCTGTGCAATGCCCAAGTCCAGCAGGGTGCAGGTGTCATCCAAGAGTGCGTTCCACGGAGTAGGGGCCACAACTGAGAAGGCCCTTCCCCTGCTGGGGTTGGGCACTTGCAAGAGGCCCCTAGAGGATGACCAAAGGGAGCGTGGGGGGGTTGTAACGGGAGAGGTGGTTGCGGAGGTATGAGGATCCCAGACCGCTAAGGGCCTTAAAGGTTAACACCGACACTTTGAATTAGATCTGGAGACTAGCTGGTAGCCAGTGCAGCTGCTGCAGAGTTGGGAGTGATACAAGCTGAGCGTGATGTTCTGCTGAATTAGATCTGGAGACTAGCTGGTAGCTGCTGCAGAGTTGGGAGTGAAACAAGCTGACCGTGATGTTCTGCTCAGCAGCCTGGCAGCTGCATTCTGGACCACCTGCAGTCTCTGAAGCGTTTTCAGGGGTAGCCCTACAGTGAGTGAATTGCAGCAGTCCAGTCTGGAGGTGAGCGTTGCATGGATCATTGTGGCGAGATCCAACCCAGACAAATAAGGAGCCATTGCAGTTGTTCACAATAGCCCCTTTTGCTTAAGTACTCATGAAACAAATACTCCTTTTTCAACTTTTGACACGTAGCTCTGCCAGGCTTTTCGAGGTGGCGAAGGGAATGCCTTCGTTTCGTTGCTGTGCTGCTTCTGTAAAGAAACCCAGCCTGAAGCTCTGTACACAGGAAGACATAAAAGCAAAATATCCTTACCAGTAAAGCCACCATAAAATAATCATGCAAGAAAATTAAAATAGCACATCAAAATGCCAATATTATAAAGCAAAAAATAAATCAATCACAAAACCTACCAGCCAGGAAGAAAAAAAGCAAACAGGATCTAGAATTATTAAGTGTTGTCAAATCATAAAGCCCATCAATAAGACAATGACAGCAAAAATTCTGTGAAAAACAGCACAAAATAGACAAAATAGACAAGCTAAGCAAGTAAAAGCTTTTGGAGTGTAGAAATAACTATTTTTGTTTGATATCTAAGTTTCGGATCCTAGCAGTTTGTAGGCACTCAGATGTACACCTGATACATTTGGGCTTGGCATTAAGATGCTGGGAGCTTCTTCTGGCCTTTCCCGGGAAGTCTGGAAGCCAGCCCAGCTTGGGAAGGCTACAGGTACGGAAGGATGCAGAGGGAAGAGTAAAGGAAAACCCAGGCCTGTCTTCTTGGCCTCAGGTCATTAGAACGTCTGGTGGTTTGTTTGGAAGCAACAGAACACATTTCCAGGATGCACACATCTTCTGGCCAATCAGAAGGCAAAGCTGGGAGCCAGTTGAGGGCCAGGAGATTCTAGAAGGGCAGAGAACTGTAGAGAAGTTCTGCAATTTAGGAGCGGACGCCCACCACCCCTACCTAGCCCTGACATCATCAAAGTGGTGTCATTGTGTTTTTAATCAGTCATGCAGAGGCAGAAACACCCAATCTGGTCCTCCTATCAAATGCACAGAGCTGCTTCCCGGGAACTCTAGTGCAGACCTGCACACCCTCTGATCGAGTAGGCTGACCCTGGCCCTCCATGGCATCCCAGAACCCGACAATGCCCTGGTCTGGAGAAACGGGCCTCTTGGGGCCCTGCGTCTGTCTGTGTCAGGAGTTCGGAAGCTCTGCAGCCACCCCAAGTCACCGCCTGGCAGCATCCTTCCCTCCTTTACTCCCTTATAACCCCTACTCACTCGGTATTTCTTTCACCACCACCCAGTCGTAACAGCGTGCCTTGTTGGAGGACTGGGACTCCAGAGCTCTCCTTCACACACTTGGGATGGAAGGATTGACCGCCCTCCTTACTTCTCCTTTATCTAAGACAGGCACGGCATGGGTACACAGAACTCAGACTTCCGTATTCAAATGGCAAAAGTTTAATAAAAGAATAAATCACACACATAATTTCTCTGTGCAGTAGAACTGAGCAAAGATGAACAGAAAAGTGAATCGACTCTGTTGCTCTAACCCTGTTCTAAATTTGTCCCCAGGAGATGTTAAAATATGGACAGACACAGGCTCCTTGGAGGTACAGGACCTCAGAAAAGTTCCGTTATCTCCGTTTTCAGAGCTGGGACTTCTCCCATTGTCCCTCAACACACTGTCAAGACGGAGTCCTTAGAGAAAGGCTTAGTCCTTCATGGCTCGAGACGAAATGGCTAACAGCCAGGGGTCATTTCGTAGAAAAAGAGCTAGGGGAACTCATTAGCATAACTCATTAGCATATGCCACACCCCCTGACATCACCGGAAGTGTGTCATAAGGCCACACACCCCGACATCACCGGAAGTGTGTCATAAGGCCACACACCCCGCCCCCAACGGTCCTGGCCACCGCCGCCGGCCTTTCAGCTCCACTGCCGAGCCCCATGAGGGGCCCGGCGGTGGACCTGCAAGGCCGGTGGGAGTGCAAGGAAGCCCCGCGAAGGCCCTCCCTGGCCCCAGGCAGGCAGGGGTGGGGAGAGGCATGGAGGAAGCAACTTACCCTCCCTCTTCTCCTGTCTCCTCCTGGCTGAATGAGGGCCGGAAGTGGGGCGGCCGGAAGCATGGGGCGGGGCTTCGTCATGTGCCCCGCCCCCTTGTACCTCACCCAGGGGAACTGCGATCCCCCGCGATTCCCCCCAAAATGACCTCTGCTAACAGCAACTGTTTCTTCCTTGTGGTCAGGGGAGTATATCATCTCCCCTTATCCACCCCCTTGAGGGTCTTCCTGTCCAAAGGGAAGGAATACACTCTCTATACTCTTCGGTTATTTATTTCTGTATTTCTAGGTGGGTCTCTCTAGCTGCAGCGTCGGCTGGTGTCTCTTTGTTCCCCCCCCCCCCCCCTCGTCGCGCATCAAATTGCTCTGTGCCTCCAAGATGAGTCAAGCCCCAGCTGCTACCTCCCCCGTAAGCCCGAGAGATGGCCATTGGTTCTTCATAACAACCCTGTAGTGTAGACCAGGTTGCAATAAAATTCTGGAATGCGTGCCATTTCTTCACATCCTGTTTGTGCACTACCAAGCGATGATGCCCTTGATGGAGAGGGAGAGGTTTTTGTGTTGGTGGGTCACCAGTTGTGCAAGCCTGCTTAGGTGGGAGGGTCCCTAGGACTGACAGAAGGTGTGCGTGATCGTGCTGGTGGTGACGTGTCCGACTCCTGCCTTCTCCCTTCCTCCTCCCACAGATTGTCCACTCCATAACACAGCCCTGCACATAGTCTTCTTAAGCTGTGTTTCTTTTTAGAATTTGCCTACCAATTCTCCAAATTCAGTTGGAGGTGGTTCCCAGGAAACTTCTCAAAAGACAATATATGAAGCCCGTTGAACAGTCCAACAATGCATCAGCATGGAAGAAGAAAACAGCATAAAGTTGCCTAAATGTGGCAGCATTAAAGCTAAACTAACCTGGCAGCTAGACAGGTCTGGAGGTTTAAAAGCAGGCAAAGATCCACCTCGCCAAATTAACAAAGGTCCAGGAAAATGGGGGGGAGGAGAGATTTAGCCTAGTACTAAAAATCCAAGAGATTTGGGGCACAGGGTGGAGATATAGAGCTCACCTCTGGAGCCCGAAGGAGCCAGGGACTCAAGTCGTGACTTCAAAACTCAGGCAGGCTCATTTAGGAGCATATATCCAAACATTAGGACCTTGTGCAGTTCCGCAGGGCCTGTAAGACGGAGCTCTTCCACCAGGCTTTTGAGTAGGAGCCACCACTACCGCACCATCACTACTGCATCGTTATCATCGCACCATTGTTGCCGCACCTCCACCAACTGGGTTAGGTAACATTGGGGTGCATGATGGCCCTGTGACAAGTTACTTATAATACCGCGTGGAACCCATACCACTTAATTGAGACTAACATTTCCAGGAGGCCACGGAACTGGGACTACCATCCCCAGGATACCATCTTGTGATTGAAGGTTTTTTGTAACATCTAGAGCACTTTATGTTGTTGTAAATGTTGGTTTTATCTTGTTTTTATTGTTTTAACTATTGGCATATGTTGCCCTATTTGTGAGCCACACTGAGCCTGCTTGTGGGGAGGGAGGGCTTTAAATTTGAATAAATAAGTAAATCTTATTGTCTTTTTATATATCACAAAAGATACTGCACAACCCCTTTATTAACACCAGTCCTCCTTAATTGCACAAAAGTTTTAAGAGGGAGGACTCCTTTAAGTCTGTTTTGAATTCGTGCTCAGTCTTCCTCCAACAGAGGTCCAGATATCCTCCTGTTTCAGGGTCTTCCTCAGGGAGTTCAACAGATATTTCCAAGCACAAGGTTGCCGAATACCAAAATACTGAAGTTATATATATATAACTTGAGATACTTTGTAATCGTCTGTAGCGCGGTATTTGTGGTTTTTGGTATTTCCTACTTACCGTGGGTCCTATTTTGGTTTTGTGAATCACTTAGGAGCAGGCAGTCCTTTAGGCTTTAACCCATGTAGGGCTTTGAATGTAAGTGCTGGCACTTTGTACCAAGCCCAGAAATGAGTGGCCAGCAAACTTCGTTAAGCACCGAAAAGATCTGCCAGTCATCAGCACCCACTAGCAGTCTTGGCACTGCTTTCAGATCCAGCTGCAGTTCCCAAACCCGCTTCAAGTACATCCGCAGGACTCGTCCCATGACATAACCCTTCTCCTTCCTCCGCTCTGGCAGTGCGATCAGGTGATGGAATTCTCCTGGAGCGCCTTGTGGAACATCACAGACGAGACCCCCGACAACTGTGAGATGTTCCTCAACTATAGCGGCATGAAGCTATTCTTGGAGTGCTTGAAGGTGCGTGAAGTTTTGCGGCTCTTGCTGCTTGCAGTTTCCGTTGTGGGTGACAAAATGAGAGCATGGGCAGGGAATCTGAATGGGTCATTTTGTTCCAAACCTGCAGCTTAAGGCAGAATAAAAAGGTAAAGGTTCCCTTGCTCGAAAGCCAGTTGAATCCGACTCTCGGGTTGCGGTGCTCATCTCCGTTTCAAAGCTGAAGAGCCAGCGGTGTCCGAAGATGTTTCCGTGGTCATGTGGTCGGCATGACTAAACACCAAGGCTCACGGAACGCTGTTACCTTCCCACCAAAGTGGTACCTATTTATCTACTTGCAATTTCTTGCTTTCGAACTGCTAGGTTGGCAGGAGCTGGAACTAGAGATGGGAGCTCACTCCGTCATGCGGCACCTGGGTCTCGAACTGCTGAACTACTGACCTTCCACAGCCTGCAGTTCAGCGTCTTGACCACTTGAGCAGAATACTCCATTGCTAAAGTGTCTTGAATGAAGTCCTACTGAGAACCAGTTTGGTGTGGTGGTTAAGTGCGCGGACTCTAATCTGGGAGAACCGGGTTTGATTCCCCACTCCTCCACTTACAACTGCTGGATGACCTTGGGCGAGCCATAGTTCTGTCCGAGCTGTTCTTGGGGAAAAGGCAGTTCTCAGTCAGAGCTCTCTCAGCCCCACCCGCCTCACAGGGTGTCTGTTGTGGGGAGGGGAAGGGAAAGGAGTTTGTAAGCCGCTCTGAGACTCCCTTGGGTAGTGAAGGGCGGGGTATAAATCCAATCTCCTCCTCCTCCTCCTTGTAGTACAGAGCAGTTGTATGGTGTTTTCAACTGCTTGGAGGCCTGTCTATGCTTTTCATGTTATGATAACTCCATATTATTAATGTATGGCAGATGGGTTAGGGCCGAGGCAGTTAGGACATCTACCAAGTCCAAGTTCACGGTACGGATAATCTTTGGACTGGGGAGCGTCCTGTTATTTGCATCTCAGGATCCTGGACACAGAAAGCTGTCTAAAGTTAGGCAGGCCGTCTAGGGGAGGGGCTGTGGCTCAGTGGTAGAGCTTCTTCCTGGCGTGCAGAAGGTTCCAGGTATGATCCCCGGCATCTCCAGTTCAAGGATCTGGCAGGAGAGCCAGTTGGGTGTGGCGGTTAAGTGCGCGGACTCTAGTCTGGGAGAACCGGGTTTGATTCCCCACTCCTCCCCTTGCAGCTGCTGGATGACCTTGGGCAAGCCCTAGTTCTGTCAGAGCTGTCCTTGAAAGGGCAGTTCTGGAAAGAGCTTTCTCAGCCCCCTCCTGGAAATTGGATGAACAGAGGAGGCTGCTGATACCAAGTCTGGGCCATTGGTTGGAAGTGTGTACTCCCATCTGGCAGTAACTCTCCAAGAACTCAGAGGTGCCCTGACCTGGATAGCCCAGGCAAGCCCTCGTCAGGCAAGGACTTGGATGGGAAGACCTCCTTGGAATACCAGAGGCAGGAGGTGGGGGGCAGGCTTTACTCAGCCAACTCTCTGAATATCCCCCAGGCCCCCAGTAGGGGTCAGTCACCAGAGGTTGCCATGACTCCCACGTGCACACACACACTCACACACTCACATGCACACACACGCGCACACGCGCACATATGAAAAATACCAGTGTTCCCTCTAAGCTGAGATCGTGTGAGCTAGCTCACACGATCTCAGCTTAGAGGGAACATTGGCCATGACTCCCACGTGCACACACATTCTCACATGCACACACGCACGCACACACGCACATATGAAAAATACCAGTGTTCCCTCTAAGCTGAGATCGTGTGAGCCAGCTCACAGTTTTTCAGCCTCCGGCTCACGCATTTTTGTCTTAGCTCGGGAAGGGATGGCTCCAGAGCAAACTAATTCATGCAGCAGCCAAATCGCTCGCTCACAACTTTAATGCCAGGAGCTCACCAAGTAGAAATTCTTGCTCACAGGACTCCACAGCTTAGAGGGAGCATTTCCCCGCCCTCAGAGGCTGCAGGCTGCCTCCGGGCCTCGCTTCCAAGGGCAGGGATCATACGGGGAAGGAGGAGCCTGGCACGATGGCCCAGAAGCTCAGGCAGGTTCCTGTGGGAGCAGAAGCTCTTGTCGGTATCCTGGTCCCAGCCAGAAATGCCACAGATCGGACCGGAAACGTCATGAAGCTGCTTTTTATTGCAGCGGGCCCTTTGGGACCACCAAGATCAGTATCGCCTACCGAGACTGGCAACAAGTCTTCTGGCATTTAGGTGAGGCGGTCTTTCACCTCACCAGATCTTTTTAACGGCAGCTGCCGGGTGTCAGCTACGCTGCCATGAAGGTTAATCTGTGTCTGGTTAATTGCTATTGCTTTCCTTTCAGGTTAATTGCTACTGCATTCCTTTCTGTGATTTCTCTGCTGTGCGCCAAAACGCTTATCTATACAGATGTGCAGGAGGGTGTTGTAGTGTCTGGGACTTCTCTAGGTGCCGTGGGAGAGTGTTCGTTCTCAGCTTCAGCTACCTAACGGTCTCTAAGCATTAGACCGCGCGCGGGAGGATGCCTAATTGGCCAATACTGTGTGTGGGGGGGTGCATACGAATACCCTATATCCTATTATGCCCATGGGGCCGCCGCCATTCTTAACAGTGCCTATGTTACTGCATCTATAGCTCTGCAATAAAAGTATTACCGTTCCTGAATGCGTGTACTGCGTTGTTGCCTGTGGGTTCTGACACCGGGGACTGAACCTGGGGCCTTCTGCATGCCAAGCGCTAAACGAGAAACGTCCCGGATACAAGATCCAGGCTCTGCTCCTGTGCCGAGCCCCCTCCTTGCCTTTAAGCGACTCCAGCTCTTCATTCCGCCGTCCCTTTTCCCGCAGCCAAACGTGTGTCGTTGTTTCTCATCTTCTCTTAGGAGTTCCCGAACAAACAGGAGCTGCACCGCAACATGCTGGGCCTTCTGGGGAACGTGGCGGAGGTGCAAGAACTCCGCCCCCAGCTGATGACCTCACAGTTCATCAGTGTGTTCAGGTGGGTGCGCCCCTCACGCAGCGCAAAGAACTGACAGCAGCCACTGCTGACATTTTAACATGTCTTCGTTGCTCGAATGCTGTCCTTATCTGGTCCGATGGCGGTGGCTTGTTGGACCTTGTGGGGTCTCGATAGGACATCAAACGCAGGGAAATGGTTGCAGAATGAGCCCTGCCTATTCAGATTGGTGGTGCGCCCACAATTGCCGGCAGGGCCCTCCTTCCCCTAGACCCCTTGGCCAGGACACCACTGGCTGGATCCCGGGACTGCCACCTCTGGGTTGACGTCATTCCCGGCCACACCCATCTCCTTCTCCTTCCACCTCTCTCTTAGGCAGTGTTCCCTCTAAGCTGAGTTAGTGTGAGCTAGCTCACAGTTTTTTAGCCTCCGGCTCACACATTTTTGCCTTAG